TCCCGCACCCGCACCCGCACGCTCTGCTCCGCCACCTCCGAGGGCCTGGCGTCCGAGAGAGGAGCCCGGGCCCCAGGGCGCACGATGACCGCCCCCTCCAGCCCTGGCTGTCGGGCAACATGGGGCCAGCCCTCTGGCCCCGACTGGCGGAACGCAGGAGGGGATAGAGGCGCCCGCCGCGGGACTGCTTCCAGCTGGCGGCTGCCGGGACCGAGCTGCGTCCCGGGTGAAACTGACCCTGCCTGTCTGGCGCCGCTTCTGCGACAAGGCCCGCGGAAAGACGCCGCGGCGCCTAACCTCCGACCTTCTTCCTCTCCAAGCAGGTCATCATAGCCTTAGCAAATCCCGCCCCCCCCAACTCAGAAATTGTCATTTTGAAGGACAAAGAAGCGTGGCCTAGAGATGTTTTGTTTCACTGTCCCTCGTGCTAAAAAGGGGGCTCCCCTGGCGTGGCGCGCCAAGTAGGGGGCTGCTAGGGGAATGAGCCGGAATGCGGGGAGGGGAAGGCGCAATCACTGCCCGGCGTGCCAAGGCCCGGGAGACACGCGGACCCTCCGTAATCCTCCTCCCCCCGCGGCCACAGCCACCCCGGGACCTCAGGGGACGCACTTGGGCAGCCCCGCCCGCCGGCGCACTCGTCTCCAGCCCTCTCCGCCCCTCCACTGCGTGGTGCGCCTAGTTTCCCGGACCCGGCAGAGCGGCGGCTGCGCCGAGGACACACCGCACACCTCCCGTCCTCTGGTCGGGGCGGCTCCGGGCCCACCCCCAGAGCAGGCCCTCGGGGTGGGGGGTGCGGACGCCGCCAGCGCCGCAGGTGCAGCCCAGAGGCCGCGCGCCGGTGAGTCGGCCCGAGCAGCTCCAGAGAGTTGATGGGGGTCAGGGAGGTAGGAGGGCCAGGCAGGGAGGGCGGGCAGTGGCTTCCCTTCCTACTTTTGCTAGCTGCCAAGAGGCCAGCAGATGCTGGAGACTGGTGAGGCAGGCAGGGGAGCCCACATCATCGCGGGCACTGTCCCCCAGACCCGGGTCTGCGGGCTCTGAGCACTGACCTGCCCCAACCTAGGAGAGTCAGGAGGCTTGCGGTGACGCTTTCTCAGGAAAGGGAGGCGAGGCTGTGAGTATACTTTAGAGCGCCAGCTTTGGACCCAGACCGAGGCCTAGGCGTGAATCCTCTCCTGGTACCAGCTCGTGTTCTTGCGTGGTTCTGCAACTTTACTAAGCCTCGCTTTCCTCATCTATAAAATGGGAATATGCTACCTTCAGGGTCCCTGTGAGGACGAACCCAAAAGACGCTTCAAAGTGCTGAGCACTAAGTCTGTGAAGCACAGATAGATCTGCATTAATTCAGCGGAGAAGAATCTCCACTTCCGGCCTTGCCAGGTGCACTTCAGGTCATGCCTGCCCTTTCACAGACTGGGAAGATGGGCTCCTTGCCCAGGAATCGCATGGGGGCAGGGACAAGGGCAGAAGCTTGTCGTCCAGGGTGCTGCAGGCAACCCTGCGGGAGAGCCCCTACTGCTCTGGTTGGTGGCAGTCTGGACCTTTGCGGGGGAGGGGGATGGTGAACACAGTATGGCAGAGATGGTTGTAGTTTTCCTTAAGGAGGACATGCCTCACCATCACTTCTGAACGTCATTCTTCACCCTCAGACACTTTCGACTCATAAAACTGGGAACCTTTGTCAGAATTAACACCCAGAAACTTCCCACTCTAGAGCAGAGTGCCCATTTTGCAGAGGGGAGCCCTGCGTCACAGACAGTTAATAGATACATGCCGGTTAGTGGACGTACCTTACTGTCTTCCCCTCTCCCTTAGGTGTGTTCAGTGCTGTGTGTTGCATTCTCTGTTAATGAAAGGATAAACATGGGCACGTTTGGCCAACCTGGGGAAGGGGGAAGCCAGAGTCAGGCCTTCCTATGCTTCCAGGGTGGGGCGCCCTGCAGGGCTTACTGTGGCCATCAGGGTCCATATGAGGATGAAATCGATGCCAAACAGGCAAAAGGACTCAGGAGAGCCACTCTTACCCTCTGCCCTTGGGATGGACTTCAGAGTTGGGCACAAGATCTTGGCCTTGACGGACATGGTCCTTGTGCGTCTTATGTGAAGATGCCTTTGGCTGTTGCGCCGGGGCCGCCGCCTCTGACACTCTCGACCCTGCTGTCTTCAAAACCTGTTCCAAATGCTGGATCCCCAGAAGCGGCCGAACCATGGGATCACCACCCCACCCCCACCCCCGAAAGCAGTGCCCCAGAGCTTTGTCAGGGAGTTTAAGTTTGAAGGTAGGGACATTCCTTGGAAGAAGCCACCACACAATGGCTGCCGTTGTGGGCCACGCTGGCTCACAGCTGTGTCCACAGGGCCAACTCTGGGCTGCGCACACAGTTGGCGCCTTGGGGGGGGGGGAGGGGAACCGAGAGCCGGCCCCGCCCTTGACTTAGCGAGAAAGACAAGTGTCTCCGCACACCCGCGGCTCGCCGCAGCTGCGCGGCCTCCCTTCCCGTCCTCTCGCCCCACTAAAGCGATCTCTTCCCCAGCTTCCCCCCCGCGCCCAGCGCAGTGGTTTCCGCTTCGCAGTACCCCTGCCACCGAGATGGTCTCTCCCTGCTGCCTACCTCCACACAAGCCCCGCACACGCGCTGGGAATGCCCCTGTCTGTGGCTATCAGCGCCCGCTCCCCGGCCCCACAAAACTCCGTGACCTGGGCGCTGTCACTTTATTCTAGAACCTGCCTCTCCACTGCCCTCCTGGAGACAGTCACCCCGCCCCCCATCTCCCCCAACCCTCCGTCCATCCCGGTCCTGGAGAGGGCCACCCAGCGGTGGCCGCAGGACTGGATCTCCACGCAGGTAGCTTAGCGTACTCCCGTGCAGTCATTAGCAGCCTCGTATCCTGATTAGGTTAAGGTGAGTAGTTGCCACACCCCGTCTTGTTGGCTCCGCCCCCTGGAGCCCTGGGACCAAGGGACTCGCCTCCGCCTGGGGAGCCGCAGGGCTGCGGCGCTTGGCTCTTTCTGGAGAATTTCCCGCACTTGTTAAGTTCAGTGTCCTCTTATATTGTCGCCTCCTCTGGGGACCTCCGACTCTGTCCTTGACCCTGGCCCCACAGGAGGCCCATCAGGTGGATTCGAGGGGCTGAGATAGATACGAGCGGATCCCACACCTGGGGGAATCTCAACCAGACGAGGCTGAGAAGGAATCAGACAGCGCCAGGGGTCCGTGTTCCGCGAAGCACAGGGTTCTGTGGAAATGAGATTGGGGAGGGCTTCTAGGGGATCTCGGCAGTTGAAGCAAAATGAATAATGAAAGAAACCACTGTTATGTTTGTTTTTTCTTTAAGATTTTATTTGTCAGAGAGAGCACAATCAGGGGGAACCGCAGGCAGAGGGAGAAGCAGACTCCCCGCTAAGCAAGGAGCCCGATGCGAGACTCGATCCCAGGACCCCAGGATCATGACCTGAACGGAAGGCAGACACTTGACTGAGCCACCCAGGCATCCCTGTTTGTTTTTTCATGTTGTCTTCACAAGAGCTCTGAGGTGGGTACTATTGTTAACCTCCGTTTACAGAATGAGTGCCCTTTCACCACGAGCAAGTGACAGCAAGGATTTGAAACCGGGCCTACCACGCCAAAGAGGGTTTTAACCTTTATATTATAAGCACATCCAGCAAAGGAAGCAATGTGAGCAAAGACGCTGGGGTGAGAAGGCAGGACAGAAGAGGCGACTACAGAAAGACGTGTTTCTCGAGCGCCAAGTTCTGCATGCACAGAGTGGGGCCAGTGGGGGAGAGTGGGGCCAGTGGGGACTGGTGGGACTTGTAAGCCTTGTAAGCAAACTGTTACCAGTTGGTAAAGCATGCCACTCTTGATTGTGGGGTCGTGAGTTCAGTGAGTTCGAGCCTTACTTTGGATATAGAGATTACTTACAAAAAAAGAGAGAAAGAAGAAAGAAAGAAACAAAGAAAGAAGGAAAGAAAGAGAGAGAGAGAGAGAGAGAGAGAGAGAAAGAAAGAAAAAGAAAGAATTAGAAAACAAAGTTAGTATCACTTAGTGAAGGGGTGAAGAAGGAAGATGACCCCTGGATTTCTGGGCTGAATAATTGGACAAACTGTCATTCCCTCCCTGCTGCAGGGGATGTGGGGGCAGGGCTGGTGCATGGGAAAGTGATGAGTTCTGGCTGGCTGCCCTGTGTTTGAGGTGGGGGCAGAAGCCTAACAGGCAGTGGCTCAGGGTTCCGGGGTCAAACAGACTGGGTCCAACACCTACATTCATCAACCTACTAGTTCTGTCACATTGGGCAAGAAACTTGATCTCTTTAAACCTGTTAATTCATCCATAAGATAGGAACAGTAATAGAATTTTAGGGTTGTTATAAAATGAGAATAAATGAGACAATGTACAGTGTCTGGAACATAATAAGTATCGAAAAATGGCAACGCTATTATCATTGTTATTATTTATTATCAGTAAATCTGAAGCTCAGAGAAGAAGCAATTTAAAGTCGTCAAATGGAAATTGAAACCAGGAGAATAAATGAGATGACCCAAAAAGAGTGTAGATGCTTAGAAAGGTGAAAGTTGAAGACCAGGAGCCCTGACATTTCAGGGGTAGATGGAGGAAAAACAGCCTAAAAATAAATGGTTAGAGAAGAAGGAAAACCACCAGAGCTTGGTGCCGTGGAAGCCACAGGTAGGAGCCACACCGCTGATCCCCTGTCTTCCTTCCTCCTGCCTAACAGAACCTGATGTTGTTAGGGTAAGCACCCTCTGGATTCTGTGCATCTCAGAGGAGGTAGCCCACAGCCCCAGCTCCAAACCAGCGGCTGGGTCGCCCCTGGTAATCCCATTGCACTTGCCAGTGATTGGTTTATGAAGTCTATTTGATCCTCTTCTGACCAATGGGACTTGATGGAAAGTCTGTTGAGGGACTTCTGGAAAAAATTTCTTTGATTAAAAAAAAAAAAAAGGTGCCCATGAAGGTCAAAACCACAAGGAGATACCACTTCACACTCACTAGGATGACTAGAATCAAAAAGCCAGATAACATCACATGTTGGCCAGGATGTGGAGAACTTAGAACCCTTATACACTGCCGGTGGGACCATAAAAAGGACCAGCCACTTGGAAAACAATCTTGCAGTTCCTCAAACAATTAAACATAGGGTTACCATTATGACCCAGCAGTTCTACTCCTAGGTATATACCCAGGAAAATGAAAAAATTATGTCCCACAGAAACTTATACACAAATATTTGTAGTAGCATTATTCATAATAGCCAAAATGTGGAAACAACTCAAATGTTCATCAACAGATGAATGGATACACACAGTGTGCTACGTCCATACAGTGGAATTATTATTATTTGGCCATAATAACGAGTAAGTACTGATACAGGCTATACTGTGAATGAACTTTGAAAACATGATTTTAAGTGAAAGAAGCCAGCCACAAAAGGCCACATACTGCGTAATGAAAGTCCAGAATTGGGAAATCTATGGAGAGGAAGTAGGTAGCAGTTCCTTAGGGCTGAGGTGGTGGCAGGGGGTTGGGAGATGATTAAGTAAATGGTATGCATTTTCTTCTTGAGGTGATCACAATGTTCTAAAATTGATAAGGGGTGATGGTCGCACATAACTGTGAATATACTAAAAGCTATTGAATTGAACACTTTTTTTTAAAGATTTTATGTATGTATGTATGTATGTATTTGAGGGAGAGAGAGAGAGGAGAGGGACAAGCAGACTCTGTGCTGAGCACAGAGCCAAATGCAGGGCTCGATCTCACGACCCTAAGATCATGACCTGAGCCAAAATCAAGAGTCGGAGGTTTAACTGACCCAGCCACCCCGCCGCCCCTGAACTGAACACTTTAAATGAGTGAGTTGTATGTTAATTATATCTCAAAAAACTATTTCAAAAGAAGCAACAAAAAAAGTGATACGCAAAGAATCTATAGACTCTTCCTCTCAGTGTTGTGTCTGGATGGAATGGCTGAGTTAACCATCTTGCTTCCAGCATGAGGCTGATGTCCACACAAAGAGAGAGGCAGAAATCATAAGGATCACTGGGAAATAGCAAAGGAGCCCCATGAGCTCCAAGCTCTGGTGGTCTTGTCTTATGATGTGATGAATTGTTTAAGCCTATGTGAGTCAGAGCTTTTATCGTTGATTTGTTTGCAAACAATTAGGAACTGTAATCACCACGGGGTTAAATATAGGGAAGTAGCCAAACCACCACAGCTGCCTGCCAGCACCCACGGAGCTAGTGCGTTAGCATGGAACACTGCAGCAGAAGCTTACCCGTTGGGGCGCCTGCGTGCCTCAGCCGGTTAAGCGGCTGCCTTCGCTCAGGTCATGATCCCAGGGTCCTGGGATCGAGCCCCGCATCGAGCCCCACATCAGGCTCCCTGCTCAGCGGGAAGCCTGCTTCTCCCTCTGCCTCTGCCTGCCGCTCCCCCTGCTTGTGCTCTCTCTCTCTTGTCAGATAAATAAATAAAGTCTAAAAAAAAAAAAAAGAAGAAGGAAAGAAAACTTACCCATCGCCTTGACCTTACTTGCCAGAAGAAAACAGCAGGAGGGAGGATGACTTTTACCTGGCTTCTACTTCCCAAATATCTCCCATCTAATGACCAACTTCTCTGCTCCTTATTCCTACTTCCATCTCAGATCTTCTCTCTAGCATCATTTTTCCTTCTGCCTAATATATATATTATATATCCTTTAGAAAATTCTGAGGGTCTGCTCGTGAAGATCTTTCAGTTTTGACTTGCCAGAAAATATCTTTGTTTTGCCCTCATTCTGAAAAACACTTTTGGATGTGGAAGGTAGACTGCCAGTTATTTTCTTCATTTTCTTTTTTTTCCCCATGTATGTATGTATGTATGTTCTTGTGGGAGGGAGGGTAGCAGGTGTCTGGGCCCTTTTACTGTTCCCTTTCCCCACAGGGTGGACCCAGTTGTGGGCTGGGGCCTGGGGCCCAGAAGGTCCAGAAGGGTGACAAGGGGCCCTTCGACGTGGAGGCACTGGATGAAATCAGAATGAGATGCGTGGTCAAGTTGGAAAAGCAGGTGAGTGTGGGATGGTTTTGCTGGTGTGACAGAGCTGGTGGACTGCAAAGCTTTGGAGAGCCGCGGGGACAAGCACAAGGGGAGGCTGCACTTCTCAGAGCCATGGCCCAGAGCACCCGCTGCCCGGGAGGCCTACGCAGGGCCCGGGTGTCCCCTGCTGCCTGTGCAGAGTTATTTTCTTTTAGCATAGGCATGTCCTCATCCTTGAGGGCTTACTGCCTACAGCTACCTCTAGTACCAAATGACCAGATTGCAGTATGGGAAATAGAAGCCAGCAGAAAAGGAATTTATACAGGGACTGAAAATCATCAGGTGCATTGGAAGAATGGGTTGTAGCTTGGGCCTCCAGGAAGACTCTCGAACACCCAGGAGTAACTCACTAGAGGAGTCACCATTTGTGTGACAATCAGGCAGGTGTAAAGGCTCCCTTGGAACTCAGTCAAATTTAGTTGCTGAGAAGCAGGACACCACCCTAACTGCAGTTGTGTCTCTGTCCCCACAGCTGGGGACAGCCATTGGAAAGCTGCTGCAGGAAAAACTCCATGTCTCCATAACCTTCTTTGCCCAGAGAAGACAATGCCAACTGCAGAAATATGGCCTGTCTCACATCTGCTTTCGCAATTCTTTTTTTTTTTTTAAGATTTTATTTATTTATTAGAGAGTGAGCGAGCAAGCATGAGTGGTAGGGAGGGGCAGAGGGAGAGGGAGAAGCAGCCTCCGCAGGGAGCTCAACGACAGGGGGACTCGATCCCAGGACCCTGGGATCATGACCTGAGCCAAATGCAGACGCTTAACCCCACTTAACCGTCTGAGCCACCCAGGCGCCCCTGCTTTCTCAATTCCTAAAACCTAATTTGCATAACCCAACTGCAAGGGGATCTACAAAAGGTAGCTTTTTGTTTCCCAGCGTCTTATAGTGTAGGAAGGAATTGTGGAAGGGCTCCCTGTTGTCAAATGGCATGCAGGGTAGGGGCCTGAAGTGGCCATTGGGTTTGACAACTGGAAAAGCAAGGAGGCTCTTGAGGGGGCTGTGTCGGCACAGTGGAGGTGGGCAAAGCCAGACTGTGTCAGGTTGAATGGCCAACAAGATGTGAGGAGCGAATTCGGTGAACGTGGATGGTTTAAGGAATCCTGTGCAGGGCGATGGAGAGAGGGATAGCGGATAGAGGGCACCTCAGCTTCAGAGAGAGTTTTGGTTGGTTGTTTTTCTAGGAATGGTAGAGAATCAGACATGTTTATGATGAAGGGAAGGTGCCAACTGCAGAGAACAGAGGGAGCAAGGAGATACGGAACGGATGGAGAGATTGTGGCTCGTGGGAGGGGACGCTTACAATGTATGGAAAGTTGCTCTTGATATTTTGCTAAGTGACAAAAGTATATAAAACAAACATTGTGTGGTTCCTTCCCTGCTTAAAAGTCTATTAGATACACTAAAAATTCTCACTGAATTGTCAGACAGCCCTCATAGAGACCAAACTCGATTCCAGGGGTGCAAGGCGCACCCCTGAGATGGAGCAGCCCAGCCAATGGCGTGGGCGTGGGCAGACCGTGTGGGAACTAGAGGGGCAAGATAAGAGAGGGCTCGGCTGGGATGGGGGAAGCAGACCTATACTCCTGTAGGCCGTATGGCCACAGGCTGGCTTGTTCCAGAGGCCTCATGTTCAAGTCATTGTCCCAAAGGTCCCATGGTCGCCCACCCTCCCATGCACTGAGGCGCAGCCTTCAGCAGTTCTAGAACCAGCTTCAGAGGCCTAGACGTAGCATCTTCCCATCCCATCTACCCTCAATAATTGTGGAGACACCCAAACTCCCCAGAGTAGTTTGGGGCACATCCTGAAAAAGCACTGATGTGATTCCAGCACGGTCCCCTCACGTTTCCTGTTTCCCCGCAAATAATGACAAGATTCTCTGACCAAGGCTGACTCCTAAGTGCGTGACTTCCTCGAAAATAAGCTGACAGGGTTTAGACTAACTTAGCTTTTCACAACCCCCATCTTATCTCTCAACATGGTTATTTCTTATGCCAACCCCTCTGTATATAAATATAAAATAATAATTCATATATAATCTATCTGGTATTATTACTGTATATGCATCCCAAGTCTGGAACCATTTCTAATCATTATTGGCCCCAGGCTTGGGTTTTTGTTTTTTTTCTTGTGGGGGAGGGGGTACTTAATCATGTGAATTCAGGCTGAAGAGCTATATTGAGGGTAGGCTCATGGCTACACATTCTCAGGGGAGAACCTGTGCCCTCCCTAATCTGATTAGCATTAGATTCCAAGAAAGGAAGTTTTTCTTGAAATCCTCTGTATTATTTATATAAAATCAATTGTAATATGATAATATGTGAGCTGAGCAAAAGGTAAGGAATGCTAAGGCAGCAGAGTAGGGGCTAAGAGAGGTATGTAGAGCCTTGAAGCCAGATTTGGACTAAGGACACATGCAAAACTGAGTGCACATGAGCATGGGTTTTTGTGATCTCTCAACACTGGCAGGACAGAAGATAAATCCTGAAGCCCACTAGAGAGAGAAGCCTAACAGGAGACTCTCTCAAAGCTGGGACTCCAGAGGACTGCAATCTCAATATAAAGGGGACCTAGAAATAAACTATTCCATCCCCAGAGGACTGTAAGGAAAACTGCCTTTCTTGGATCCTGAGGCTAATCGAATCAGGGTGCAGGTGGGGGAATCTCTGTTTCTGAGATTGTAACCACGAGCCTGCCCTCATATAGATTTTTAGCCTGAATTCACATGATTAGGCACCACCTTCCCTAAAAGAAAATAAAAACAAAAACCTGGAGCCAATAATATGACCAAAATTGGTCCCAGATTTTGAGGCCCCCAGGTACCTGACAGAAGCAATGTAAATCCATTTCAGTGGAATTCAGAAATTTGCCCTCATCCCTGGCCTCAAATAATTCCCACAGGTTATGTCCAAGGAATAAATAAAATAAAATAATTTGGTAAACATAGAAGTAAACAGGGCATGATGAGTGAGAACCAGCAGAAACAAGACAGCAGATTCAGACCTAAAAAGCTTTAGATGTTGGAATTATCAGATATGGTATATCAAAGAAGTATGCTTAATGTAATATAAAAATAAAAGAGGCTTAGGGGCACCTGGGTGGCTCAGTCACTGAGCGCCTGCCTTCAGCTCAGATCATGATTCCTGGGTCCTGGGATCGAGCCCTGCATCAGGCTCCCTGCTCTGCTGGAAGCCTGCTTCTCCCTCTCCCACTCCCCCCTGCTTGTGTTCCCTCTCTCGCTGTCTCTCTCTGTCAAATAAATAAATAAAATCTTTAAAAAAATTTAAAAAAAATAAAAAAGGCTTGAAAATATGACAAAAGAGCAACAAATTTGTGGAAAAAATCAAACAACTCATAGGAAAGAAAAATATAAAGTTGAAATGTAAAACTCAATAGGTTTTTAAAAAAAATTATTTATTTATTTGAGAGAAGAGAAAGCGTGCATGAGTTGGGGGGAGGAGACAAGGGGGAGGGAGAAGCAGGCTCCCGGCTGAGTAGGGAGCCTGATGCAGGACTCAATCCCAGGACCCTGAGATCGTGACCTGAGCTGAAGGCAGATGCTTAACCGACTGCGCCACCCTGGTGCCCCTCAATAGACAGGTTTAACAGCTGGCTAACTACAGCTGAAAGGACGATTAGGGATGTGGAAGATAGAACAGAAGAAATTAGTTGAAAACAGCCCAGACAGACAAAGACATATAAAATATAAAGTAGAAGTTAAAATGACACGGAAGACAGACCAACAAGGTCTACCATACATTTAATCATACTTCCAGAGGGAGAATAAATAAAAAAGAGAGAAGAGGTAATATTTGAAAAAAAACAATGGAAGATTACTTTCTATAGATGGAAAAGGACCCTTATCCATATAGTCAGGAAGCCAAAAAGTTTCCAATTATGCTAAAAAGAAATGGACACCCCGAATCATAACAGGGTGAAAGCAGAGAACACAATGTATTGAGTATTAGAGTACTGGCCCCCACCGGCAGCCCTGAGGTGCCCCATCCCCGGATGAATTGCTGTCGAAGAGCAATGCCAAGAAGACTGAGTTGGAGCTGGAGGAGGAAGTGACGAGGAGCTAGATGAGACCCGGTTGGAGAGACTGTGGGGATTAACAGAGATGTTCCCAGAGAGGGAACCGTCTGGGGCTGGGGCCGCTTTTGATCTTCTCGGTCTTTGTGGCTCAAAGACCAGAGATTTCCCAGGGCAGCCTTGTGGATTGGGACCACCTCCCTCATGATCCCCCTTCTCCCTGTTGTCCTTGAGACTGTGAAGTTGCAAATGGAGCGGCAGCTACGGCGACAGCAGATACTCCGTAGTGCCTGACGTAGGCTTCTCAGGAGGCGTGCCAGGGGCTCTACCTTCACTTGGGAAAGATCTGGATTGTTACTCTACGACTTGTCTTGGTGGGACAAGTTTGAAAATTCAACAGTGTTGGAACTGATTATTTGGATTCTTTTTTTTTTTTTTTTTAACTTTGGCACATTGATCTATGGGCACCTGCTGTGGAGAACTCTCCCCAGTGTCTCACGGAGACCCCCAAATTGCAGCTGTGCCCTCCACGCTGTCCCATTTCTGCCGTCCTCACTCTGATAGCAGAGCGCAGCAATGCCGACGGTTCCTCCAGCTCTGGCCATCCCACCCTTTCACTAAGTAACTCGTGACGGGAAGGTCGCCTCACCATCCCATTGTGGCATAGGAACTGATACCACTGGGAAGGATGCACCCCCGGCCATTTTTGTTTTAAGCATGGAGATGTCGGGAGGGGACATGCGCACAATGCTTTACAGCTGTGGTTGTAAAGCAGCCGCTGTGATTTCTGTATTGGCTAGGAGGGAGGGCTGCGGGAAGTCTTAACCACAGGGTGGGGACTGAGGACGACAGAGCGGGAGCTGATTTTCTCTGCCCATTTTGGCTATCAGAGACGTGTGTGTGTCTGAAACAAAAAAGTGCTCAATTTTATTT